AATTTTAACATTACTTAGTATCCCTTTTATTTGTTTTCTCCTATTTGTCGTAGGGGGAGTAGAATTTTCCAGATATCGGGGACAGGTGATGAATCATTCCTATTACATGTATTTGCAGTTGATTCGATAAACAAAGCTTCTGTTATCAATCTCTCCCTATACCCTGTGACATTAGATTTTAAAACTGTCATCCTATCCCATCCTATTGTATGATTGTGTGTGACTGCATGTAGTGCTATAGCTGAACTATTCTCTAGATTTCTTATTTTATTCGGGTCAACCAATCTAGATTTTGCTAAGTTTTTATGTTCAGCTAGTCTGACTGCCCCTGTTCTACTAGTTTGACCTATGACCTATGTCAAATACATAGGTCAAACTAGTAGAACAGGGGCAGTCAGACTAGCTGAACATAAAAACTTAGCAAAATCTAGATTGGTTGACCCGAATAAAATAAGAAATCTAGAGAATAGTTCAGCTATAGCACTACATGCAGTCACACACAACCATACAATAGGATGGGATAGGATGACAGTTTTAAAATCTAATGTCACAGGGTATAGGGAGAGATTGACAACAGAAGCTTTGTTTATCGAATCAACTGCAAATACATGTAATAGGAATGATTCATCACCTGTCCCCGATATCTGGAAAATTCTACTCCCCCTACGACAAATAGGAGAAAACAAAGAAAGCTATAAAACTCAAGTGTCAAAGTCGTGTGATCACAATTGATATGATTATGAACAATAAATTTTGTTCGAAACGTCATCCAGTAAATAATACTGTTTCACTGTGTGATATACCTAATAAACAAACTAATATGGAATTACTTACTACCACAGTGCCCAAGTTTTACACATATATTACTTAGTATCCTCTGATTTGACTGGTGGTAATAATATCTTCCATACATATTCTGCTCTGAAATCTAAAGACAGTAGATGTGAGGCATAAGTGAATTCCTAAAATAATTTTCTCAATGGGCAGCTTTGTCCTGTGACTAAGTTCGGGATCAGAAGTTAGTCTCCTTTTAACTGCTTCTAAGGCCATTTTGATTGGCATTTTCGTGTGAAGACTAGTTATATGAAGACTGATCATTTCTTCACTATTTTTTTAATTGAATGTTATTTAGTTTCCTTTTCATTTCATATGAATAGGTTAGTCTACAGTTTGAACGATTTCTAATAGGACATAATATTAGAGCTGAGTGTTTTGATAATTCATCAGTAGGGGTATTGCTGAAATCTACTATTGGTCGTGTGGTGTAACTTGGCTTATGTATTTTAATAGTATCATAAATTCTACTGGCATTATTATCTTTAGGCATTAAATTAAACCGTTTAGACTCACCCAGTGACAGCTTCATAAGACGTATTAAATCCGCTGTAGATTTCTTATTCCTTACTGTATCTACAGGCTTCTTAATTTCCTCATATGGGCCCGTTTCAATGTGTTCAGTGACTTTCTTTATATAATCAGATTAGTCCAAAATTACTGTAGAGTTTCCTTTATCAGCTTTTGTGATAACGATACTTTTATCATTTTTAAGATTGATTAGAGCCAATCTTTCCGATTTTTTTAAGTTTGAATATGCTTTCTTTTGTTTCTTAAGAGTTAATGCACATTGAGTTCGAACCTCTTCTTCTGTTGTCTTATCCGTTGAACTTATTCTGACTATAAAACATCTTATTTCCCATCTGTTTGTACTTGATTGATAACACTAATATTATATCTGAATGTACCTTATCTTATATTGATTTTTATTCAAATGTCTAATCAGTTTCACTCATCTATATAAATGAAGTAAAAAGTTGTGTGAGTGACTTGATATGATTATGAGCAGTAATGAATTGTGCTCGAAAGGTCATCAGTAAGTATTATTGTATAAAACTGTGTGACCTATCAAGATCAAATCCTACCAAGTTTTATACTTATATCAACTAGCATCGTTCACAGTAATAAAATAAAATGTATGAAAATTACTCAGTTGTGTAAGACAATAGTATATGCTAATAACTGATCATATTTAAGTAGATCAAGTAGTCCGTGGTAGGCAGAAGTTGAAGTCTGTTGTGTTTTGTACACATGTATATGATTAACCCATAGATTAATCACATTATTATTAGAAACAGATGAAAAAAATCGAATGCCACTGGTAAGTTAAGAAGTACTGTAGTATACCCTGGCTGAATTCATTTTACAAATATTTTCTTTAGAAAAGAAATCAAAAGAAATTCCCATTGAGACAAAACAAAGAATCCAGAGAAGAAAATTCTCTTTTCGACTATTTCAGTTTATTATCACACTTTAGTATTTCCAGCCTCTGTCAAACATACATATATATTTTCAAGTACTAGTTTGGTAGGGATTTTGTTTAATTGCATGGAGGATTTCATCATGAGCTGACATCAGTTAGAGAACCACTGGAAAACCTGGGAGTACTGGGCAGCTGTTTCGTCCTAATTTGGGATGAGGCAGTAACCCATCTAAGAAGACATTGCGAAATGGTCGCGCTATGTCGTGAATTGGCAGAAGTTAGAATTCAAGGACCATTGGATCGGGTCCCAGTGGCTCAATGGTCGACGAGCTCGCCTTGCAACCAGAAGGTCCTGGGTTCGAATCCCGGTGGGCGCGTACCGCTGAAGAGTCCCAAACTAGGACGAAACAGCTGCCCAGTCCTCCAAGGTTTTCCAGTGGTTCTATAAATGATGTCAGCTCATGATGAAATCCTCCATGCAATATATATATATATATATATATATATAACACGATTGTACAGCTATGTAAATGAAGTCGTTGAAGAGAAAAGGAAAATTAATTAGTTTCAAGTGTCAGATTCCACGAGTTTGACTGACTTCATTGTAGATAACATCACAAGACGGCATCAATTAGACAACGGCTGAAGGTCAGGAAGTAGTGGACTTATGACAAAATCTGCACTGAAGTTAATTAATCGAAAATCTGAATACTAATCATTTATGATTGATTTCAAAATGATTATCAAGAAAGCTTAGAATTCAAAGGAAATCAGACTCCAATCCCATGGTCAAATGGTTGACACGTTCGTCTCACAGCCTTAAGGTCTAGGTCTGCATCCATATTGAAGTCATAAAGTGTCCCAAATTAGGCTCCAGTTCTCTCTGGTTCTCAATAATTTTTTCACAAGGTACAGGTTTGTAACGAAATCTGACTTGAAAAACTGATCAATTTACTACAGACAAGAAAAAATACAGTTCTCTCCGAGGGAAACAAAGTGGAAAGTAAACTGAATCAGTGTATGTAAAACATCTGAACTTCTTAAGCATACAGCATCAAACGTGCATAGAAAACTTTATCAAATATTAACTTTTACTTCAACTGATAATATATCACCCGAAAAAGAAACAGTTAGATTCTCAGAATATACATACTTAGTTTATTCAAAGAAGCTGAGTAGAAATAGAGTAGTAATTTCAACAGTCAGATCAAAGACGCAGAAAGACAGCTATCCAATTGCATAAATGAAAATTTCAATGGACTTAATAAGTGATAAAAAAAAATGAGATCCGTTCATCTTAACAAATGGATCTTATGTATCAAGAAATTAAGATCAAAACTACGTAACAAGTTGCGAAATGCGTTTAATATAGCCTGATAAGTATTCATTATAATAAAGGTTTTTGTATTTCCCAATGAATGAAAAACAAAACGATATTGTTTTTACTGACGTTTCGCTATTTAATGCTAATAGCTTTATCAAAGTATTATTAAACCGGAATTTACAAAATCTCAGCATATATATAACAAACAGTTAGGGGGTGAGAAAATAGACATAGGTCAAGTTAAAGGGACATATTGAAAGTAAAAATAGCGATGAAGATAACTAAACCAAATAACAAAGGTAATAGTATGTCTGTTATGGTATCGAAATAAATTTTACTAACTTGATCATCGTTCGTCTGTTTGGGGGCATTTTTAGTTGTCAAGTTGGTGAATTGGTAAAGATAACAAAACCATCATGTGTAGATTGTTAGATTTGATAAGTGTATAAGATTATAAAAGCAGCGTGTGTTTACATAAGTATTCAGTTTACTTTTTGATGAATTAAGCAGACATTTTGCGTACACCTTAAAGCAGATTACAAGGTACATTGTTAGTTCACAGATGTAAGGGAAATCATATATTTTATTTCATAAAGTCAATCCCTTTAGTATATACACACAAACGGTTAACAACTACGCAATATATCTAAGATGTCCAAATTAAAAATTGACTAGACAAACGGGAAGATTTAGTAAATAATGACATACAAAGATGTGTAATCAAAGTTACTTCAACCACACACAAATAGATAAAACCAACTTTCTTTAAGGAGTGCAAATTCGCCTAAGAAAAGGACTTCATATAGAAGATAATCGGTCAGCAACCAGCAGGTAACAAAATCCGATTATTAAGATACTACGAGAATCATAATGGAAGCAATTATATGACAGAATAACTTTTTAAAAAATATGTGAAATCAACTTTTTCGAAACAAATACTACTTTTTAAAAAGAAAATGTGTATAATTTGTCAATTCACTCAATAAAACTTATACCGTCACCAATACGAATAGAACAATACTACAAACCTCATAACTCGCAGAAAATCAAAGACAAAAAAATAATACTATCCACGAAAGAAATAATATGCTAGCATACTTATCATATTTTGTTGAACCAATGTTGTTTAGAGGTAGCACGATTAACAGCAACTAGATGAAATTTTTAAAAAGGCATTCATGTATTCCCTGTAGTTGAGAAATGAATAAAATTGTCAGAAAGCATTAGGAAGTTGGCATACCATTACAAGGACAACTGAAAATAATATTAAAACTACTGCAACTGCTTCCACTAACAATTTATTCAAAAAGTTTAAATTCCTATTCCAACTATCTTATTACTATTGACCATAAAATCAGATATAAACAATCAAATATAACAAACGATTAAGACAAAATGTATAAATTAAAATCCTCTTACCTGGTATCTTAGTAACAGGCATACTTTCGCCAGTGATTAATGATTCATCACAAGATGTTGAACCGATTAGGATTCGACAGTCAACAGGTACTTTTTCACCTGGTAGGATCTATGAAACAATATATAATTTTTAAAAAGAATTAAAAACAACCCCGATAAATTAGTCTTTATTTCCAAACTGCAACAAAATGCTCTTTATTTTCCTTTTAATATTTCTTTTCAAAGTGAAAGTTGGTTAATAGAAATATTACCAAAAATGAATTCTTTCCTTAATGCAATAACTGAACCATGTAATTCTAGCTGAATCTCAGCATGTTTTGCCAACTTCTGAAAAAAATGTAAAACAGTTATAAAACTGTTTGAAGTGCATTAGATAGGTAGGAAGATAGGGGGTGAGAAATAAATTATATTTTACTATCTCGACAAAGTTTTCAGAGAGAAAACGAGACGTTCAGATATGATATGTTTTGCTGTAGCCCAGATATTCATGAATGAATAAAATCAATAGTGTTTCTAGTGCGGTGTGCTGAACCGTTTTCGATCTGAGACATACGCGTCATGTATTCTGAGTGGTTTTTTAAAGTTTACATACCAAAACAATTTCTTGGTATAAATTTGACAGCAGTTCGCAAAGTAAAATCTAAAAATTCCGATGAGTATGCAATTGTGGCATGAGGTTACACACACACACACACTGTTGATGCTTGTTTGCTTCTCTACTTGTACTTGACTTAATCATTAAAATAAAATATAACATAAAAAGGAAAGAAAGTTACAATTATACAATCCTATGCACTGACAAATGTGAACCCAATGGATAAGAAGGAGGACTCCTACAGACAACTGCAAGCAGTAATGGACAAGATTCAAGGTGGATACCGACAGAAAATTCCTAGTGACTGGTATGAATGCCTCACTGAGAACAGATAACACAGTAAGAGAATCCATCTCGGATCGAGATGTGCACGGTGATATGAACGAGAGTGAAGAACTCTTTGTAGAATCTTGCACCTTTGGTGATCTGGTGAGTCAGAGTTTACAAGAACAATGATATCCACAAGGCAATGTATGTTTCACCAGATGGACACACCAAAATTCAGACAGATTTAATCTGAATCCCAAGAAAGCTGAGGCACTCTGCTAGATACACAAACAGAGTCAGTGACAGATAGTGAAGGGAAGCCAGTTACTGTAGACGTGGAAAAGAGGAGGTGCTGAGCCAACCACTGAACTGAACATCAACTATAACTCCTTCAGCAATACAACCAGCAGACACAGAAATATCAGTGAACACCCGGTTTCTGATAAAAACAAAAGCCTTGAAAGCTATCAAGTAACTAAACGTTGGCCAAGGATGCAGAGGGATCAAATGGAATTCCCCAGAAGCATTGGGAACGGACACAGAGACTGTAGTGGACATATACAGGCCACTATTGTAGATGTCAAAGGAAGGAAAGATGTCTAACAATTGGAAGAAAGGATATCTAGTGAAATCGTCAAAAAAGGGGGACTTAGATCGATGGAAAAACTAATGCGAAGTCATGTTTCTGGCCACCACAAACAAAATATTAGGCCGAAACATTTCGGAGAAACTAAAAGTTACTTTATATGGAAGAACAGGTAAAAGATTAGCAGTCAGCTGTTTAAATCAACTTCATTAATCTTGAATAAGTCTTCAACAGCATTCACTGTGAAGTAATTTGGAAACTTCTTCAGCACTATAGGGTGCAGTACAGCAAACATTTGTATACATCATTGAACAGCTATAAGATAATGCCATATGCCAGGTAATTCACGATGGAAAACCTAACAAAGCCTTTGAAGAGGTAACAAGAGTGGGACAAAACTGTCTATTGTCACTGATGATCTTCGTGACTGTGGTAGGCTGGATCATGCGGCGGACCTCGAAGAGTGAAAAGACGAGCATACGCTGGACTGACAAAGAGACCCTAGAAGATCTGAATTTTGCAGTTGATTTATCTTTCGTGTTCCACAAACTCGAAGATTTACAAGCTAAATCCAACTGGATGGCAGAAGGGGCGACGAAGAAAGGAATTCATGTGAACACAGAGAAGACAGAAGTGATGAAGTTAAGCAACTAGTAATAACAAGTACCAATAACCATTAATAGGAGAAATCCACAGGAAGTTATCCCTCCTATTTAAGTGGGTAGCATCGTTTCAACTACAGGTAGGCGGAACAGATGAGAATGTCAAAGCCTAGATAGGAAAAACAAGATAGACTTTCATTACTCTGAAATCACTGTGGAAGCCCACAGCACTCACTCAGTACAAGGAAAAAGATCTGGATTCTCAACACTAGTGTCAAGTCAGTGCTTCTGTATGGTTCGGCGACTTGGCATATGCTTCACCAAAAGTGTTTCCAGCAGGCTATCTTCACTGGACGAAAAGGATAAACAACAAGGAACTCTAACAATGAACTAACAAAGAAACTATAGGCAAACAAATATGTAAAAGGAGAAGCGTTGGACATACGCTGAGGAGGCCGTTGAGTGAAATCATACGCCAGGCAGTCACTTAAGACTCAAATGGAAACGGTGAAGTTGTGCATAGGCCCCAGAGTGACTGGGTAGATATTATATGGGGAGGAAATGACAACTTTTGGTCAGTCTTGGAGCTGGGTAAAAAAGATAGCAGAGAAAGGAGTCAAATGGCTGCTGAAGCTTTGTGTTTCTCTCGGAACCCAAAAGAATAATATATGTTGCAATAATATCATCAACATACGGCAAAACTCTCGAATTGTTATCAATGAGGAGAAATATCAACTTCCACATATATGGACATTAATAAAGGAGTTCTGACAACATTTATCCTTTTTCAATGACGGTAATAACAAATGTATACTCAGCTTTTTGAAGTAAAATCAGTTACTCAATATACCCTATCAATAATTTTTCACGTATAATTACAAGAAAAGAGACAAAAAATATATGTCAACTTCCAGTGAAATAACTAGCCACAGAATGTTCTCAAATGATAAGGCGTGCTCTATTACTAAATTTAAAAATCAATCTCAACTTTTTGCGGTGTATGAATCAAATACGAGCTGTAACAAATAGATGACAATGACGATGATAACAGCAACCGAAAAACAGTAGGATGCCTTCATAAAATGCTATTTTAAAAGATAATATACACAAAATATACATAATTATAATAATAGTCATATAAGCACGATAATGCATCTATAATCTCTACCTTATGCTTAAAGTTGACCACTATTCTCTACATGAAAGGGATGTAAAAAACACACGTATACACATACACTTACATTCGGTAACGCCATCACATGCAAAGTAAAAACGCACTGAGAATTTCATCACAACAGTGCAATAAATAACAAAAGTAAAACTATTCAGATGTTGAATTTGTAGGGAGATCGTCTTTACGAATCGAAGTTGATTAGAGAACTAAAGAGTCCCGGAGAGTGATGTTGCCTTGGCTCGGCGTGTAGATAAGCATTAATAACGACTGACAAACTAGGACAACACAGCAACCGAGTACTTTCTTTTAATACTTATGTCATTTTGATGCCTGAAAAAAATTAATGCAACACCTACCAATATCTAAGGAGCCAGGTAGTACCTGTGTTTTTCGTACACTACATATGCAGCTCAACTTGTACACAATCACTGATTTACATCGATGATAATGTCTGTTCAATTTTCTATAAACATCCTTTAATAAGTCCAGACTAAGGAGAAAATTATTTCTTTTCCTAACTTCTCACCGATATCAATTAAGATATGAAATCATTGCAACATTAAGTAATCACAATGACGACTAGTCAAACTTCAGTAAATTAGGTAGAACTGACTGACACCATGTAAAACGATATGCTGTAAACCTGAAGTAACTGTTATTTCAATTTAACGTATGCATTGAGGAAAAACTATCTAAAGCGTTTACTGGACGCTTGTTTGAAAAAGTGGACAGTTTGGGATAATAATGCAGTATAGTGTAACACAAAATAAGGCAGTAAAAGCGACACATTTTCACACTTTTCCTAGTCTAAGTAACACACTGTGTGAAGGTTCATTGCATTGAAAAGTCACCAAGCGTTTCTCAGTTATTTACTTTAGAGCCATAGAAGATTGTAAATATACTGTTCAAGTGAGAATACACTATTTCAGGTAAGCACGTTGGTTAATGCACCAGAGAGATTTACTTTAAAATGTTGAACAATATAAGAGTGCAGACAAGTTTGAGAGTGAAATTTTATAAAGCGAAGATGTAGGCTAGTAAACAACAGTATCAATAAGACATCAAGCGTATTGTATATTTTGGTCTGGAAATTCGACTTTTGGACAGTGAGCATTAATTCAGAAATTTAACCTAAACTGATTGCACAACTAACTAGCCCTATCATCTTACATACAAAGCGTTTATTTCTCTACAAAGTTTTAAATTTGGATCATGAGCTGACACCAGTGAGAGAGCCACTGGAAAGCCAGGGAGTGTTCAACAGCTGTTCCATCCCAGTAGGGATTCTTCAGTAGCATGTACCCCCTAGGATTCGAACCCAGGACCTTACGGTCGTAAGGTAATGTCACAGACTATTAAGTCACTGGAACCTGATTTAATGGAGTATGAATTCCAAATTCTGCAAATTCGAGAGATATATAGTGCATATCCCAGCCAATGTCATTGGCATGTAACTGGCCTGATTTGGTACACTCCAATGGTTACAACTTCTCACTAGAACTTCAGGTAGCTTCTTGTGTAGATAGACTCGCTAGCGAGAAGCAGATTAATTATCAGTTGTTAGCTTACAGGGTTCACCAAGTCATGTAAGAGAACAGTTACTCGCTAGTGACATTGACTGGTGGTTCAGCTTTGCTTTTCGCGAATTGGCAGAAGTAGGAATTCATGAGCCATTAAATCAGGTTCCAGTGACTTAACAGTAGGAACTTGCCTTACGACCGTAAGGTCCTGGGTTCGAATCCCAGAGGGTAAGCACTGGTGAAGAGTCCCAACTGGGACGGACCAGCTGTTCAGCATTCCCTGGTTTTCCAGCGGCTCTCTAACTGGTGCCAGCTCGTGATCAAACCCATAACCCATCAAATCTCTGAAAGTCAACACCTGATAATCACTACAAAGTGTTGGAGCAAATACGTCACTGTTAAGTCTAAAGAAATGACAAATATTACCACTGCCAGAAGAAAAAAATAGGACATAAATTTCAACACTAAATCAACATCAGCTATGCAATTATTAAAGACCACACGGCACTGAATATCTGCTTATGATTTTGGGGGTCTTAAGCAGTGAGCACGCATCAAAGCTCTACCTTCAGAGTATATATATTCTCCAAGAACAGAATAACTTCATCAAAAGCTTATGAACAACAAATTTTCTAATTGTACTTGTAGAGAAAAATGAAATACCTTAATGATATCATCTTGGTGAACAAGTTCAATAGGGATCCGTTTTTCCACTCCACTAGAAAACAGAGTTGTTGGCGGTTGTTTATTTTGATTATCTCTTCGCATTATAGCCTCGTTGAGATTTTGTCTTCCAGATGGAGACAAATCTACTACAGTAGCTTCTGTCGCACGAAGTGAAAGTAGCTTTGTAAGAGCTTCTGATGTCTTGCCCTAGTCATAAAACAAACATAAGACTAGAGTTAAATAAAAGGAAGTTCAGAAAAGTAAATAAACTGGATATAACAGAAATAAATGAATTACTTTTATTGTCATTATTATCGTCCTCACAGCTAACAATCATATACTGTTAATTTAACTAAGCATCACTGTGACTTCTGAAGATAAGGGAATTCAGGTGAAGAAATTATGTGACTATTAAGTTGTCTTGAAAAGACAGTACAAAATGACACTATAGTCGGTAATTTGTAAGAAACTCTACATGAATCCATTATAAATTATTTAAATCAATCCCAGCGTGTTAAGAAAAATCTTGTTTTAATTTTCTTAACACGCTGGGATTAATTTAAATAATTTATAATGAATCAATCTGACTCGGCGCTCAAATTATTCCAGGAAGTTCGTAACACCTACGGCCTGGAAACCTATAACTCTACATGAATGTTTCACATTTGTGTAGCGATTTTATGCTCCTTTTGATATTTGAATACCGGTAAATTGTTCTGACAACTGGTGATACAAATAAGATGAAGCAATTTTTGCACACTAATCACCATATAGTAATATAGGTAATATTATGGCTACAATATTGCATCAGATATTTCTCTTAGCTGTGACACTTACGCATGTGATTAAGAGTTTTTAGTGTTTTTTTAAGTTGAATGATTCAACTATGTATATTTGTGAAGATAAGTGTTCTCCGTAGACACTTCTGTTATAAATACTAACAAAAAAAGATTATACAACGCTGGAAAAATGTGGAGTCTATTCGAAGTATAAGTTGAACATAAGAAATAGAATTGGTGGAAAGATGTACACCAGAAATCAGAATTTGAACCTGTTGTATGATCGAGTAAACACTCAGATGTGATTGTGTCACCAATGTTTTCATTGCAAACTGTTAAAACACGAATACAGATTACAATAATAAAGAAAAAAGTGTCCGAAAGCAATCAAATAAACCCCTTAACTAATACAATAAATATGAAAAAAGGAAAATATTTGTAGCTCAGAATGACAGTGTTGAGTTGAAAGTGTTACCTAAGATATTTTGGTTTCAAGCACAACCTTTAATGACATTTGAGTTCCCATCTTTTTCTTACGCCAGTAGTCAATAATATTGTTTTGACTTCTGACTAGTACTGAATATAATGACTATAATCACGGTGAAACTCCCCCTCAAATCAAATCAGGTCGGAATACACTTCCTACACAACAGGTCGACTTCAAATGAACCAAGCGAAAACCTAGTATTTAGATTATTTCACTCACAATATGTATATAACTCTTAAATTGGTTGTAGATAATACTCTAAGAAATAACTTATAGGTAAGTATATTGAAGGGTAGAGGGCTTCCGAGTGGTTACGCTACAGGACCAGACTATATATATAATTCTAGTCTTCCAAAAGATGAATGTTCGGTTCTTCTGAAAAACCGGTCAATGGGTATAACATTATGTGAATGTTACCAGATCTAGCAAGGACGATGAGATAGTACGCAACCATTCGGTTGCGTGCAAGATTCGAGGAAGGTTGTACGCTATACACATGGGCCTGATTAATGTTCAGAGCAGGAGCGGTTCAATGGAAGAATGCTTGCCAGCCATGCGGTGATCCAGGTTCCATTTTCTTTCGATACATCACCTGTTTTGCTAGCCGATGGTTAACCGGAGAAAGACGAAAGGTTAGGGTTAATACTAGCGAACCCACGCCGTAAAACACAACACCTTTGCAATTCAAATTTGGAGCCCTGCGTTCCACTCGGAATACAAGGAAAAAAAGAATAAGAGGCTTATACCCATCCATCATCCTTAATACACAGGCATTTGACATACGGTATTTAGAATGCCTTATACTTAAGAAAATCTTATGACACTAGGAGTGAACCTATAAACCATCAAATGAAATTTTTCTTGTTAATTAAACATCTATGAAAGCAAAAAGAGTTCGACGGTAAAACCAGAAATCGGTTCAAAGTGGAGACAAAATTGAAGTCAGTAATCACACATTTTCATGAAAAAAAATTGCATAACCTGTCAAGTGCTATGACGTATGTGAATTGGAAGCTAACAGAAGTGATAAAAACAAGAAGAAGAATCTACAACTACTAATACCACAGTAGAATATGACATAGTTGGAAAATCATGTTGAATACACTAGAAAGACTGAAATCATATCCACTTAAAGCAGGAGATACGAAAAGACTAGTTGCTCTTGACTTCAAACATTTGCGTTCTATCTCTAGTGCTAAGTGGTATCATACCGTCAGTAATAGTTAGGTTAGACGAAGGGCGCTATGCACAGAAGCGAAGTTAGTCGACGAAGTTGTGTAGCTACATCGACTGAAACGACTAGCAAACGTGCTGCGCATGCCGAGCCATCTCCTTCATCAACGAGTAATGTAGGCTGACATAGGATCAGGTTGGAAAAGGGTTAGAGGCTGTCAAACCCAAACCTGATATCACTCCATAAAACAACTTCCTTCACATACTCATCTATTCATTTGTTTAGGAGTATGGATATTATGTTCAAATTATTCTAATTAAAATTGAAATCCTACGTAATTTACTTTTGCCCACTTGTTCTACACATTAAAGTTGATTTATATTGACTTGATTCAAACTTCTAGTTTGATTTTGTCTTTCAAAAACGCATTCTTTTGAGCATGACCTGAATATGACTTTTTGAGCTTAATATAAAATAGATACATTAACTTGTCCATTCATCACCTTAAGTTTTATTCAGTCTAAGTATTATTTTAATTCACGTTATTCTGTGTCTACCCTGTACTAATTTAACTGTTTTAATTGGCGCACATTATTTCAGAGTTAGGGATTTTTTTATCAGAATTATTTGGTAGTGATTTTTCAAATCTAAAGAGGAGTGGAATCACTTATTGATGCAAACGGCAGCAATAAGTACTAAGCAATTATGAGATTTTACTGTGATTTTATTTACAAACTAAGGCGTTCAAATAAAGAAAAACTTCAAGAACCATAAGTACTGGTGTTGCTTGGTAGTGTGTACCACTCAATTCCTTCTAGACAATGTGAAGAATTCATAAAGACAGAATAAAAGGAATGAATAAGATAACATCGGTATGAACAAATAATGCTATGTGAAACCCTAATCATCAGATGTTAATTGAAATTCAACAACAAATAGCAACGTAAAATTGATAATCAGTTGACCAATTTTGATTTTCTGGTTTGGTCACTAAGAGATCACAAGACACTAAACGAAAACAGAGCTGAACAGCCAGGTTAAATATTCCGAGTGATGACGAAAAGGGATGAAAATGAGTATGCATTCACTGCTTTTTTCACAGTATTCTGAAAACTTTTAATTGCTGGCAGATGTTTGCTTGACTTTGCAACGATGCATCCTGTGAAAAGTTGAGTCTTTTTAAAGTCTCCGATAAAAAGCTGTATAAATAAGGGCGTGTGCAGGTGGTTTAGTCATAGAATGTTTGCCAGCTGCTTAGGAAGTCAGGATTCGACTCCCTGCCGACAGGCTCCTAAGCCTCACTTAGCCTGCACTAAGTTAGAAAACGATGGAACGTTAGGTGTAAGGCTCACACCCGGTAAGAACAACACCAATGCTACTGGAACTTAAAAAGCTTCAAGACCTAGGACCCACTAGGAAAGCAATGAGATTAGTCCTGGTTATGCAGCAACAGTATCCTACAGACGATTACTTGAGACTAGTTAAAAACTACCTTTCTGTGAGTTTTCTAGTCATACTTAGTTGTATTAGAATTGGAAAAGACGTCCGAACCAGCACAATATTAAAGAATTATAAAAATAAACAAACCATAATATGCAGAGGTAACAGTTTCAAATGTATAATCTTCCATATTTCTCTGTTTACGTAGGAGTAAACAGTTAGTGGATATGATAAATCTCAAGAAATAAGATGAAAAATGCAATACAATTTGTTACCGAATTTATAATTATTTATTTATTTTCGCATTCTTATTATTACTACCATTATTATTCATCTAGTTATAAGACCTGTGGTGTATCTCCACATTTACTCTGATGATAATTTTGAACAACTTTAAAAGATCAATGAGATGTTTTGTTAAAATGTTCAATAGATTATATGATTCTATAATTATGACTTGATATAAATTAAAGTAAATGTATATTTAGCTTGTCTTTTAGATGGAGTAATCAACTGTAGTTATATAGCAAATTAATTAATTAATTGAAAAATACTTTCACTTGCCTTAGCAATATGCTCTAACCATCGACCCAGTGATACAAATACGAATAGCATTGGTGAAGTTTCAAAGACAGTTCGAGGACTATGCGGCCATTGATTGACGATTGCAATTAACAAAACGATCACAGAATATGTATAAGCGATTGATGTAGCCATCACAATTAATACATCCATATTAGCCATACCATGTCGTAGAGATTTATAAGCATGAATATAAAAATAACGACCACCAAATACCTGAATAATAAAAATGATAACACATAATTACGATAAGCGAAAGAAATAATACGCAACTGTGAATGACATTCAATAGTAGTAATATCTAGTGTTGAATTTCATCACAAACCAAAATAAACTTGATATTCACCAAAAACCATCTATTTACTTCTAGATTAAGAACTATCGACAGTATAGATTCACGACTGCAATCAGAATCCAACTCAAAATTGTCAAAATTTCAGCGAGCACATCTCTGTCTGTCTGTCTGGATTCAACATAGAACTTGGCACCGAAGTGCAGCAGTTCGAGTTGCCACGTTCCAAATAGCACACAAAGGTAGACAGGAAAATGAGTGAAGAGAATCAATAGAGTTTTGACAAGTATAAGAGTGAAACAGAATGAGTAATGGTAGAAAGGAATATGAAAGATTACAGAGACTGAATACATCTGCGCCATTGACAACGATTTTGAGCCATGTCACCTAGTGTCTCCAGCCATTGATTCTTAGAGTCCCGAGGGTGGGCCCCAACCCGGAAGTCTGCATCTCCCTACCTGACTCAGTTTAACTGTCAGGGATTTCATGGATTGATGCCATGTTTTTGTTTGGCCACCACTTACTCTTTTCCAACCTGCACCTATATCAGCTAGTAATGCCCGTCGGGGGAGACGATGGTTAGGCATGCGCAGCACGTGACCTAGCCATCTCAATCTATGTAACTTCATAGCCTCTTCGAGTGATTTTCCCTCTTTGCCCAACACTCTACGCCTAACGTCAACATTACTTACCTTATTATACCACCTAACGTGAGAAAGAGATCGTAAACATCTGTGGTCAAAAACAGACAATCTCTTCATGTCTTCCGCTCTCAATGGCCACGTCTCACCGCCATAGAGAAGGATGGAGCGAACTGATGAGCAGTATACACGTCCCTTGGTTGACAGCCGGATGTCACGCCTACGCCAGAGACGGTGTAAGTTAGCGAAAGCAGCCCGAGCTTTCTGGATCCGTGCTGTGATTTCGTCACCAATCAATCCGTTGGTGCTGATACAACTTCCCAAATAGGTGAAGTGGTCAACATGTTCTATCACTTCACTCCCTATCACTAAGCTAGGAGTTGACGTAGTCCAGTCCTGTAGCAGCATCTTACATTTCACAGGGGCGAATCGCATGCCAAACATACGAAGATTGCTGCTCAAGGTGTTCAGAAGACTCTGCATTTTGTCAGCGTCCTCCCCTAACAGGACTATGTCGTCTGCGTATTCTAAGTCTATAAGACTATTCCCTGGTAACAAGTCGATTCCTAAGTCATTAAGTTCAGTTAAGGATACTTCCATTAGCATATCTATGATGAAGTTAAACAGAAAAGGGGAAAGTGGACATCCTTGACGGACACCACTAGTTGTTATCAATTCAGATGACAATTCCCCATAAGCCCTTACACAGCTACGTGAGTTTGAGTAGAGTGCCTTGATTAGTGCAATGTACTTTCTTGGCACTCCCTTCATAGTCAAACATTGCCATAGAACCTCTCGATCCACGGAGTCGAAGGCCGCCTTCAAGTCAAGAAATATGGCAATGGTTGGACGCCTAAAAGTGTGTCTATGTTCTAGGATCTGTCGGAGAGTGAAGATATGATCTATGCACCCTCTACCTGGCCTAAAGCCCGCTTGATTTTCCCTCGTTTGTTCCTCCCGAGTTCGGCTTAGTCTGTTCATGATTACTGAGCCTAGGATTTTAGAGACTATGTTCGTTAAGCTGATCCCCCTATGATTATCACATGACGACTTGTCTCCCTTCTTGAATACTGGTATAATAAGTGACTTACCCCAGTCTGATGGAACCGTCTCTGATTCCCAGACGTTACCTAGTACCTTAGTTAAACTATATACTAGTATGTCACCCCCATATTTAAACACCTCCGGAATAATTCCGTCGGGTCCTGCCGCTTTGCCTCGTTTCAAATTACAGATTGCTTTGGTGACCTCACTTACAGACGGCGGGCCAGTGTCTATGTCCCATTCGGGTGTGTGCTGGATGGCGGGGAGGCTCAGTGTGGCTGTAGGCAAGTTAAACTGTTCCTCGAAGTGTTCTTTCCAGCGTTCGAGGCGTCTATCCTGAGAGCTAATTAAGGAGCCATTTTTCTCAGAAATAGTCTCACTTATGATTTGCCTTCTCCCACCCGTTTCCCTGATGAGTCTAAAGAGTTGCCTATCGCCGATGCTTTTTCCATCTCTTTCGCCTTTGTCAACCACCACTGTTCACGGTCCTTGCGGAGACTTTTCGTAAGTTTCCTTTTGTGCAGCTTTCGCTCCTCATTGAATTCGGAGCTCGCCGGAATAAGTCTTCTAGCATCTATCAGTTCGGATGAGGCAGTCGAAATCCAATGGTTTTTACTCACCTTTGGATTTACCTTATTCACAGCTTTTACAGCTGTATCTATGGCTGACTGAATATTCTTCCAGGCTTCTTCAGGGTGAGCGCAGCTGTCGAACTCAGATATGTGTTTAGCTAGTTCTTCCTCAAATAGGGACTTAGTTTCCAGATCGAGTTGGGGACGTGATGGGTTTACCACCAGCTGTTTCCTACGTCCGTTCAGTCGTAAGCACACACGAGCGCGGACCAGTGCGTGATCGGTATCTACACACGTGTTCCAGAAGGAGCGACAATCTCCTACCGACCCACGCCAACGATGGCTTATTGCTATGTGGTCTATTTGTGTCCAGCGTTGGTTTGATGATGGAGGTCGCCAGGTCAAACAGTGTCTCTCCTTGTGTTTGAAGTTAGTGCTTACAAGAAACAAGTGATTATCTGAACAGAACTGTAGGAGACGGTCACCGTTGTCGGTTCGCTGGCACGGGATTCCGTATGTGCCACCGACATTCTTCTCAGATTGACACAATTTCCCCACTTGAGCATTAAAGTCACCAGCTAAAACGACTATATCTGAGCGTTTAGCCTTTCGCAGCAAACTAGACAGCTTTTGGTAGAACTCATCCTTCGTTTCATCCGAACTGCAGTCAGTGGGGGCGTAGGCGGAGATTACGAAAAGGCATCGGCGAGTAGTGCAGTCCTTTCTCCTTTTCACTGATCCGTTCAGACGGACAGCACACATTCGGCTATCTACCGGGATCCAGTCAAGTAGTGTCTTTTCTGCCCTAGTACTCAGAGCTATCCCAACACCAGCTAATCCTCGTGAGCTAGCCGTCTCATCTCCTGACACCCTCAAGGTGAATTTTGCATATTCATCCTGTTGGCCAGGTGGGGTTAGGTGAATAACCACACTTGGGTCTTGTATGCGTGTTTCTGAAACACAACATACATCAATGGCTCGGGATGCCAGAGTCTTGGCTAGTGACGCTTGTTGTCCTATTTGGCAAAGTGTCCTAACATTAAATGCCCCTATATGAAATTGGTGACGTGGCTTTAGGAGACTATCGATGGTGGCTTTTTGGCTTCCGTCGTTTTCAGTGCACACAGAGTGAAGAGGAAGTGAAGAGCCATTAAGTAGAGGAGTTGCATTAGTAGAAGGAAGGCAAGATAATAGAGATGAAGATGAAGACAAAGGTGAGTGAGGAATAGAGAGGTTTCGTGTGCTCTTCGGGTTGTGAGGGCGATTGTTGCTTCCCGGCTGCCCACACCGTGGAAGTTGGTTGCGTGACCGCAGAGTCCAGGGGACAACTGCTTGAGGCCGGTCACACACGGCCTGTTTTTGTTTGTTGTTTTTTATTTGGTGTGTCTCAGTAGCGTATTTATCACTTCTGCCCTGTGACACGGCAGCAGAAAGCGCGGTCGTTGTTAATCCGGGCCCCGACCGATCCGGCATGATATTTTGTGATTTGTATGAAGTCATTGGATTGGGTTGGGTAACTGCTTTTAGTCTAACCGCTATCCGAACAACCTTCCTGGCATGGTAGGACCTGCAGGAACATAAGTTCCAGCCAGTATAGCTTGTTGGGTCATTGCGGTGTTCAAGCCCGACCACCACGTCAAGGTAGCAGCTTTCGGTCGGGAGCGAACACATCTAAATCCATAATAGAGGGTGGATGTTTCAAACATTTGTCGACTCGTGATATGAAGTGATCATGTAATCGATGAGTAACTCTCTACACACACATTACTGATTTTGATTTTTACAGCTTGATTCCACACCATATTTTCAGTACAAGTGTGGAATTTTCAGCATGGATATCGGTAGCCCAAATTCAGGCCGACCATAGATATCGGGTGTGCGCCGGCAGGGGATCGAACCCCGGACCATGTGCATGGTCGGCGAGAGTCCTAACCACTGTGCCACCGACGCACAAGTAGTGGATTGACAAGTACAGATAAGTAAAATAGCCAGAAAAGTTATGCGTTCGACATATTAAATGTATGCAGCACCTTTCAGTCAATATCACTTTTATGGAGGAACAGATATTACAGTATTACAATAAGTCATAAGGAAACTTTTCTACGCCATTTATTGATTTTACTTCCAAAATGTCCAACTTATTTCTCTTTCACGCTTATCGGCGTGATTTGTAGAAGTATATATTTATGCGATTTCTGTGTTGTAGAAACAATAACAGATTACTATTGTAACAACAGAAGGCAAGACACGGAAGCCACGGCATATTTTTCATTAATCAAACTGCTGTTTATATATATATATATATATATATATATATATATATAGTTTTATATTCTTTAACCAGTCACTGAGCTTGTGATTTGGTTTACATTAAACGACATTAAATCGAATGTTCAAATAAATATATCGTGTTCTGTTGCTAACGCAGTATTGAACTGTGGGAATATGTGAGAATAATATTCCGTTGGATCACATTGTTTTTATAAGTTTTTAGCAATTTGCTGGCTAACTTTTTCTTTTAATTTCACTCGTCTTTTTCTATGCTACATCGTGAAGTGTGTCAGCCTACACAAATACACCTCTTATTGTGAAACACTGTTATGCTAACTTGCTTAACCTCAAAAGGGTAGGAGAGCCCTTTTTAAATAGATATTGGATAGCAGAAAC